GCAGAAGCACGTGAAGTAGCTCTCGTTTTAGGACAGAAAAATTTGCGTTAACCTTCGTACGCTTCTCAGAAATATTTGTGTGCATGTGTGCGCATGAAAACAGATTTTAGGATGTTACTTTCGTCTAGTTTTGCTTCGTATTTTTCATCGATACATATTCCTAAAATCATTGTATTTCTGGGTACTGAGGGGTTCGTGAGATCATTTGAAGTAACTTTTTCCTTTGCGAAAATGCGATCCGCCGCTTCGTTTACGAGTTATTAAGGAAAAACAGTGACCAATGAGAGGCGGGATCAGCTGGCGCGTGGCGGCCGAGCCAATAAACGGAACTGTGCTCCGCGCGCTCGTTGGCTCGGCCGCCTTGCGCTAGCCGAGCTCGCTTCTCATTGGTCAGTGTTTTTCGTTAATAACTCGTTAACGATGCCTCGGAGAATATTCTTGTAAAGGAAAAAGTTGCTTCAAATGATCTCGGGAACCCCTCGTTTCCCGGGAATACCATAATTTTGGGACACTCTGTATAATGCACAGCCGCGGAAAAAATGCAATCTGGACATCTTTTAAAACGAACTAACTTTTGTTAGATTGGATCGAACGATTCGAAGCTTTTTTTAGACGACAGAAGGGATGGTTTGCTGGACGATGAATAAAAAAGATTTTCACGAAAATAGCAATTTGGTGGAATGGCAAAAAAGAAGGAATGAAGAGTCAGGTTTTTCAATTTTTTTATCCGAGCGCGTAACGAAAATTTCATCAATACATTCCACCCGTTGCAAATATTTTTTCGCAAACATTTTTTCACACGTTGTTTAATAAACTAGTCTTTCTGATATCTCAAAAAAAAATCGACTCTTTTAGATCGATTTTTTAAAAATTATTATAAAAAATTATACAACGTTATAATTTAAAGAAATACAGACGATAATTCGAACAAATTAGAATTAGATCGTCCACGGTGCCCGGAAACAGAGAATTATAAAGAGAATCGTACGAAGATTAACGCTTGGTTGTCCCAAAAATTTATTTCGTTTGCAGTCAGTTGGGAATAATTTTTTTAAGCAAGCGAAAGGCGCTGTTAAATAATTGTAAGCTGAAGCACAATGATAATCGCGCTGCTTGCATTTTATATGTTCGCTTTGACTGCATCGCAAACAGAACTTTCGTGACAATGCAAAGCATAAATTCATTATTTAAATAATTGTTCGGAAATGAAATTGTTTCATTTTCGTTCTCGTGTATATGTGTGATTGCAAGCATGTACGATTGCATCAATGTTCGTCGTTATTTATGTTGCCTCTATTATTGTGAGCTGTTATTATTGAAATGCAACTTTCCAAGAATATTAATTAATGTTGTGCTTTAATATTCTCCTAGCAATTATCTATTCGCGCTAATCGCGTTCGATCTTGTTTCTTTAGGCGACATATACAGAACAAAATATTTAACTGGCGATGTTCTACGAATTCCTTTGTAGAAAATCAGAATGCAATTTATTAGGAGCGATAGCTTACACACACGTGACAAGATATGCACACAAATGCTTTCTATCTATTTACGAGTTTCGGACATTTACGGATAGCATTTCGAAACATTTTTGAAAATCATACTGTCCAGTAGGAAGTCATTTCCACAGTAATTTCTCCCAGAAATGTTCGGAGCCGGAATCGAAACACGCAGATCTGAGAATACTAAGTCGCGCTAAGATATGATTCTTCGAGCCTCGCGGCTCGTTTTTATAGAAACTCGGGGCAGTCGGCAAAAAAAAGGCAGCGGCCAGCACGTTAATACGAATGCATAGTAATGCTAGAATAAAAATGATGACTCAACTTTTTTATTTCTAACTTTTTGCTACGATTTGATGGCAATTCGGAGGCCATGTGACACTATTAGAAGGCAATTCAGAGGCCTCGTGACACGATTCGAGGGCAATTCAGAGATCACGTGACACGATTCGAAGGCAATTCGGAGGCCACTTGACACGATTCGAAGGCAATTCAGAGGCCATATGACACTATTAAAAGGCAATTCGAAGGCCTCGTGACACGATTCGAGGGCAATTCAGATACCACGTGACACTATTAAAAGGCAATTCGAAAGTCTCGTGACACGATTCGAAGGCAATTCGGAGGCCACTTGACACGATTCGAGGGCAATTCAGAGGCCACATGACACTATTATAGGCAATTCGGAAGCCTCGTGACACGATTCGAAGACAATTCAAAGGCCACGTGACTCAATTCGATGCAAATTGGCCATATACCTCGTAGCTCCGCGCTTTTTCTCACCTAATTCGCGCACCCAAACAGATCATTTTGTGTCATCTTTCAGAAATTCCGTCAACCCTAAGCATAGACGTAGCAATAAATCGCACATGCGTAGGACCAGCGCAGAGAAATTCGCAGCAACCCGAAATTTAGCATTTCCAGGAGAAATTACTGTACATTAATTTGAAATGTTAAATAATTCTTATCGAATTTTCGAGACCCCTTAATGTGAATAAATAAACCACGTGTTCCCTCCCGAAGAACGAATAAACAATCGCGCGACTTAACCTTACAACCCTAACGACGATACATGTTACGTTCACACGGCACAGTAATCTCGAAGTTGTTTCACTCAGCCCTTACTGCACACGATCACCATAATCCAACCATCCAGTCTGAACATTCACACTTCGCTCCCACTTAAATTTCGACTGCAACACCGATGACCTTGAAAAAAATCCATAAACAGTGAAAATTCGAGTCGTACGACGCGAATATCACTTTTTTCCACGTATCCACGTTTCGACGCACCCAATAGGGATCAGCGTGCGCATTAATTTTCACATCCGAGTGCATAACGCGGTGACGGAGGGGCAGTCGAAGCATTTAAAAATGTTCAATATCGATGACCCGAACAGCGATCAGAATCCGGCACGTTCCCGAAAGAATCTCGAATCACTCCCCCCCCCCCCCGATCGTAATATACAGGGTGTCCCAAAAATGTCTCGTAATACGGAAATGGGGGGATTCTGAAGTCATTTGGAGTAAATTTTTCCTTAGCGAAAATGCGATCCGCGGCTTTGTTTACGAGTTATTAACGATAAAAGAGTGACCAATGAGAGGCGTGATAGATACGCTGGCGCAAGGCGGCCGAGCCAATGAGCGAATCTGGGCTTGGCCGCCAAGCGCTAGGCGAGCTCGCCTTTCATTGGTCAGCGTTTTTCGTTAATAATTCGTAAACGAAGCCGCGGGTTGCATTTTCGCTAAGGAAAAAGTTACTTCAAATGATCCCAGGAACTTCTCATTTCCGGCTTGCGAGACATTTTCCGGACACCCTGTACAAATTATACAGTAATGTCTCCCTAATTGACGCTCAGATTGCGCAGAAAAATGGACAATTCGGGATAGCAGAGATACGATTGTTCGAGCCTCGCAGCTCATTTTTACAGTTGTTGACAATCGATAACGATAAAAAAAAACGAGCCACAAGGCTCGGAACGATCGTATCTCCTCTTCCAAAATCGTCCATTTTCGTGGACAATCTGAGCGTCAATTAGAGAGACATTACCGAAAGCCAAGCATTTCCAATCGGCGAGAAACCGCCGCAATCGAATTCGCCGATTTGCACCCGAGTGTGCCGGCAGAACAAACGGATCCCTTCGTTCGAGTGGCGATCCGAAACTTCCGTTTCGGGAGCAGCGTTTCCCGCATAATAACGTCGATTTGTTGCGCGCGACGAGTGTTCGCCGGAACATCGTTTGCCGAGCTTCGACGAAGCTCTGCTCCCGGAAAGTTTCGAGTCGCCGAAAAACCGGGCCGTCCGCNCCCCCCCCCCCCCCCGATCGTAATATACAGGGTGTCCCAAAAATGTCTCGTAATACGGAAATGGGGGGATTCTGAAGTCATTTGGAGTAAATTTTTCCTTAGCGAAAATGCGATCCGCGGCTTTGTTTACGAGTTATTAACGATAAAAGAGTGACCAATGAGAGGCGTGATAGATACGCTGGCGCAAGGCGGCCGAGCCAATGAGCGAATCTGGGCTTGGCCGCCAAGCGCTAGGCGAGCTCGCCTTTCATTGGTCAGCGTTTTTCGTTAATAATTCGTAAACGAAGCCGCGGGTTGCATTTTCGCTAAGGAAAAAGTTACTTCAAATGATCCCAGGAACTTCTCATTTCCGGCTTGCGAGACATTTTCCGGACACCCTGTACAAATTATACAGTAATGTCTCCCTAATTGACGCTCAGATTGCGCAGAAAAATGGACAATTCGGGATAGCAGAGATACGATTGTTCGAGCCTCGCAGCTCATTTTTACAGTTGTTGACAATCGATAACGATAAAAAAAAACGAGCCACAAGGCTCGGAACGATCGTATCTCCTCTTCCAAAATCGTCCATTTTCGTGGACAATCTGAGCGTCAATTAGAGAGACATTACCGAAAGCCAAGCATTTCCAATCGGCGAGAAACCGCCGCAATCGAATTCGCCGATTTGCACCCGAGTGTGCCGGCAGAACAAACGGATCCCTTCGTTCGAGTGGCGATCCGAAACTTCCGTTTCGGGAGCAGCGTTTCCCGCATAATAACGTCGATTTGTTGCGCGCGACGAGTGTTCGCCGGAACATCGTTTGCCGAGCTTCGACGAAGCTCTGCTCCCGGAAAGTTTCGAGTCGCCGAAAAACCGGGCCGTCCGCGGCCGTTTCCGCACTTCAGCCTGTAGAAACGCACACACAGACAGCACACTGTAGGACGCTAACACAGGATGCTAAACTCAACGAAGTAGCAGCTAGGTTCTTTAAAATCCGCGGCTCGCATCGTACGCGGCCGAGAAAAAGGATCGCGACTTTTTCTTGCATGAGATCGTGTTTTTTCAATTCTTTCCCTCTCGCCGGATTGTCGGAAGCTCGCGCCACGCCTCGGCTAGCCGGCGCGCCGACCAATGCTTAACAGCATGTTATAAGTGTAGAAGACTTTTTTTAGCGGCTTTTGACTAAGATCACGTAGTGTGTATTCTGTGGCAAGGTTCGCGGAGACCGCGCTGGGGGCGGCTGCGCTGGTGGCACCCGGTATGGAGGAGCCGACGAACACCGCCTCGGGGAGCAACGAGGACGAGGACGAGACGCCGCTCGACCCGGTCGTCGTCATCTCGAACGACAAGAGCACCGAGTTCTTTCTGGCCACGGTCGTCGAGGAAGCAGCGTAAGAGTCCAACGAATCTGTCGCGATCGCCTGCGCCGAGACGAACGTTCGCGCGGTCCTAAAATCTTTCGGTGTGTTTCAGTTTCGTTCGTTCGACCCTCAACAGGTAGCTGTAAAACCTCCGGCTTCCCATTCCGTGGGAAAACAGCAGCGTAAATAGGGTTACAGTAATGTCTCCCTTACTGACGCGCTCAGATTCTGCACGAAAATGGACTATTTTGGAAGAGAAGATACGATTTTTCGAGTCTTGTGGCTCGTTTTTTATGGTTATCGATTGTCAATGACTATAAAAACGAGTTGCAAGGCTCGAACAATCGTATCGGCTTTTACTAAATTGTCCATTTTTGTGCAGAATCTGAGCGCGTCAGTAAGGGAGACATTATTGTACAGTAATGTCTCTCTAATTGACGCTCAGATAGTCCACGAAAATGGACTATTTTGGAAAAGGAGGTACGATTATTCGATTCTTGCGGTTCATTTTTATAGTTACAAATTGTTAACAATTATGAAAATGAGCTGAAAGGCTCGAATGATCGTATCTCCTCTTTCCAAATTGTCCATTTCTGTGTACAATTTAAGCGTCAATTAGGGAGACATATATCGTGTACTGTGCTGTACTGTAACAGGATTTGTGAATACACAGACGAGACAGTTGCCAGAACAATTTTTTTTTAAAGAAAAGATCAATAATTGTTTGTTCGTTGTTTTGAGATTTGAACATTTTGTCGCAGCACAATAATTAACAATAATTGATCGTGTATATAATTAATGTGTATTGTTTTGTAAGGATCGGAAGATCGGATTTATTTAAGCTTCGTAAGATTTTTATTACTTTTTGCTAGATTTTCTTTCAGATTTTTATCCTATTTGATTCATCCGAAAAAATATCAGAGATTTTTGTAATATTTGTAATATCAGAAATTGTGAATGAAAATATCAAAAACCTTTAAATATCAGAAAATATCAGAAAAATATGACTATATATATTTATAATATATATTTATATACCAATATTTATAATATAAAACTTATAAATACTTATAAATTTTACAAAAAAATTTTTATAATCTTTATAAAACATTAGCTAAATTTATAAAGCAACAATTTTCACAAAGCTGTAGCTAAACGTTATATTTGCCCGTGTTTCATCCGTTACCTAATTAAAGTAAACGTAGAAAATTTGCTATAATACTTAAAGCTTACTTCACTCACTTTTTTTTAGAAGTCTTTGCACAATCGAACGCCGCGGTCGCTTTATTATCATCGTGGAAAATGATTTATTCCGGCACGCTTGTAAAACGAACATACAATTTTCGAATAGCGTCGATGGATTGCGGCGCGGATATTTACAGGATAATTTTGCGGCCCTTGTTTCCATACAGTGCTACACGAATGAAATTCAAAAGCAGTTGCATCTTTCATTCCGTTCGGTGGATTCAATGGAGAAACGAATTATTCGCGGGCGTGCTCGGTAAAAATAGAGGCGGACCGCCGATAAACCAGTCCACTGTGAAATCGATTCGTTTGTTTGTCGACTGTCCACTGGTCCAGCAACCCGGAGTGGTCACTGTATTGATTAAATGCGGAAGATGCGGCCCGGAAGATCGTTCTCTTCTTTTTGCGTGACTGGAAACGTACATAAGTGCAAACAGATAAAGACATAAACGATACTGATAGACGTATCAAAATATTTACTTTATGTGCACAGAATGTTGTTCTTCGGGTTCGAAATCTCTTGGACGAAGAAGACGGACGAGAAAATAAGATAACCGGTTGGACGAAGTCCGAAGTGAATTCACTCGAGAAATGCACCATCGATAACCGAATGAACTTTGTGCAGGATGCCACGAAATTATGGTAATTTCGGGAAGTGAGGGATTCCTGAGGTGATTTGAAGCAACTTTTTCCTTTACAAAAATTTTCTGCGAGGCCTCGTTAACGAGTTATTAAGGAAAAACAGTGACCAATGGGAGGCGAGCTCGGCTGGCTTGCCGCCTCGCGCCAATCAGTGGTACTGGACTCCGACCGCTCGTTGGCCCAGCCGCCTCGCGCTACTCGAGCTAGCCTCTCATTGGTCAGCGTTTTTCGTTAATAACTCGTTAACGACGCCTCGGAGAAAATTTTTGTAAAGGAAAATGTTGCTTCTAATGACCTCAGAAACCCCTCACTTCCCGAAATTGCCATAATTTTGGGGCACTCTGTGTAAACATTACTGTTACGGTCTGCTTACCAAATACAGTAAATCCTGCCTAATTAGCGCTCAGATTGCGCATAAATTGGACAATATTATTCGAGCCTTGCGTCTCGTTTTTGTAATGATTGACAATCGGTAACAATAAAAACAAGCCGCTTGGCTCGAACAATCGTATCTCCACTTCCCAAATTGTCCATTTTCGTGGCCACTCTAATCGCAAATTCGGGAGAAATTACTACATTCTAGAATTAGCATGAACATTATTTAACTCGAATAGTTAATTCGATAAAATTCCGACGTCATAAATAATCGTAAACTGAATCAGTGAAATACACAGGGAATCGGGATCTGATCGCATGATTTATAAATCAGCTAATTGTCCATTCGTAAATTTTAATCAATCAATAAAGACCTAAATGTGAATAATACGGACACGTTGCGCGCGAACTTCATCATGCAACGAAACACAAAATTTTGCCGAGCACATTTAGAGAATGATAAATCGTAAAATATGTATAACTGACGTAGTGTGCATCGTAAATCAGCTTGCGTTCCTCGGTTATCAGGTTACAGCAATTTTTCATCGCGCACATTCCACGACAATATTACGAAACCGGCGTCGAAATTATGGCTGCGATACTTGTTCGATGGAAACTCATTTTAATGACAATTTCAAGGAGAGTACCTTCCAGTTCGACTGTCGAGACCATTGTTACGATAACTAGGATCCTAAGAAGTGACGTAAAAATGCAGATTCGACTGATGCGTTCAGGGTTAAATTATGCGCATCTATTGTGGCAACGACGCGAATGCTATTTCACATCACTGTAGGCAATTTCTTAGTTTTTTAAAATAATTTTATCTTTCATTACTAATGTACTATTTTCTTTAGGAATGTTTACTGTCGATCTAGCAAATTTACGCAATTTCGAAGTTTGGGCGAAGTATCAAACTAATCAGCCCTTTTCGGTTGACGGCTTTGGCAATTAGGGTAGCAGGGCAATAGTCACTACACTAAACATACTGAATATTGATGTTGGTAAATATTGCGTTTAGGGGACCACATCGCAAATATAACTTTGGCGTACGCTGTGAAAATTATTTTGGTAATACAGTAAATTCTCTCCCTAATTTTCCTTCAGCTTGTAAACAAAAATGGAAAATTTGGGAAGTGGAAACTCGATTATAAGTACGTAATATATAATATATACAATATATAATATATTTATATATCTATTTATATTTCTTATATTTATCTATTTATATATCTGCTTATATTTACATTTATCTGTTTATATGTCTATTTATATTTACATTCATCTATTTATATATCTATTTACATAGACATATAAAATAATTATATATCTATATTTATTTTAAATTTAAATTTATTTTTGGCTTTAAATTAAGAAGTTAAAATGGCTTTAAATTAGAAAATTAAAATGGCTTCAAAAAGAAAAACAGATCGCCCGTAGTGATCAAAAGTTTGGCCGCCCCAGATGTATGGTAAGGTTAACGTCATTGGCGGCACCTCTAAACGCAATTTAATTTACCAAAATTCACCAAATCTTCTTTCTTAGCGTACCACAAGATGGAATTTACTTCTCCTTGTACTCGGATAAAGCAGTCTATTAAAAAAAAAGTATCTCCACAATTCGAGAAAATACAAAAGAAAAAGTTCGACCTATGACAACGCGGGGCATAAGGCGAACGTTGGTCTCGGTGTTGGGCCTTATCTGGCGTTCGGCGGCGCCCCCTTTTCCGTGACCGGTGGTGACCAACTCTAGAATCGCTCGTAGGAATGCTACTGATACTCGAATTGCAGATGTCGTTTCAGTGCAGTGGCGCAAGCCCAGCTCGGCGGGACGCAGAACGCTCGCAAGGACTCGGGTTACGACGGGGCCGCGAGCAGCATGGTGATCAACGAGCCGCTAGAAACGAACTCGAGCCCGAGCCCGAATCCACGCGGCACCTCGGCCCCGTCCTCCTCGACCTCCTCGTCCCCGCCCCCGAAAGCGCCGACCGCAAGCTCCAGCTCGCAGTCGAAGAAAAACGGCACCGACCCCAACAAACAGGAATTAAAGAGGCTCAAGAGCGCCGGCTCGCTGCTGCCTCTTCAGCTTGGACGGACGCCAAGCGTCTTGTCCGGCTCGTCCACCTGTAAAAAGGACAAGAAGGATACCGCCGCCGGCTGCAGGTTCACGATATACAAGGCTAATAAGGCGAGCAAGAAGAAGCGGGAGAAAAGCTCCGCGAAGAAGGAGCGCAAGGCGACCAAGACGCTGGCCATTGTTCTGGGTACGCAACGACGGCTCGGGCCTGCCCTTTATTATCCCTTGAAATGCTACGAACAGACTGTCCACCGACCCTTCCTGTGCACACAGCTGACGCAACGTTTCCTGGAATGTTGTAACTCGGGGCGCTGCTCGAGAACGATACAGTCCCGGATAAACGGTTTATCAGAAGTAGACTGAGGATAATTTTTAACTAGCTTTTGGAAATTCATTTTCGTTGTAATTTGTTGAACGAATTGAATTTTACTAGGATTTGTAGAATACAAAATAGCTGGAACAATATTTGCTATATATTTCACTTTCTAGTTTCATCATTGATTGAATGACTTTGATATTGTGCGAATTTTTCGAGTTAATATTCGGCACTTGATGTTTTGAAAAATATAATAGAATCTCGGTTGATTGAATTGATCAGGGAAATACGAGTGTTAGGATAATACAGAGTGTTCTATAATTATGTTAATACCCGGGAAGGGGTGATTCCTGAGGTAATTTGAAGTAACTTTTTCCTTGGCGAAAATGCGATCCGCCGTGTCGTTTGCGAGTTATTAACGAAAAAGCGCTGACCAATGAGAGGCGAGATTAACTGTCGCGCGGCGGCTGAGCCAACGAGCGCGCGAAGCCGGGTTCCGCTGATTGGCTCGGCCGCCTACGCTAGGCGAGCTCGCCGAGCCAACTAGCGGTCGAAGCTCGGTTCCGCTGATTGGCTCGGCCGCTAGGCGAGCTCGCCTCTCATTGGTCACTGCTTTTAGATATTGTTAAATATTGCAAGCATCATGCAGCGGACATTTCACACTTAACGACCTAATAATAAAAGTCGCTTGTAAGAACAATCCAAGAACGTAAAAATGACAGTATTTTATTCGTGGTTGCAAAGTGATCGCCGAGTTATCAAAAGATTTCGAAGCGGTCGGCGGAGTGGTTTCTCGAGATATTCCGAAACGGGGAAAGATCCATCACGCCGGTACATCATCAATTACAATTTCAGGCGTCTTCCTAATCTGTTGGCTGCCGTTCTTCACCTGCAACATCATGGACGCGATATGTACGAAGCTCGGGGCGACATGTCAGCCGGGTGTCACGGCATTCATCGTGACCTCCTGGCTGGGGTACATGAACAGCTTCGTAAATCCTGTAATCTACACTGTGTTCAATCCTGAATTTCGCAAAGCCTTCCACAAGCTCCTCAGCTTTTAAACGAGCGACGCCATCTACGGCCACATTCGTCTTGGGGGTTAGGAGGAACAACGAGGCATTGGACAATCGAGCAGCTCAACAATTGTTCCGGCAGAAGGTATCGAATCCATTTCACAAACGGGAGAAGAAACGGTTTCTTCTTTCGTAGCAGATCGACGTTGTTTTTGTTGTTGTTGAGATAGCTTTGTCAATGAATGATTGGAACTTTTTTGATTCTAATAATTTTTTCGGTGGAAAAGAAAATTTATATTTATCGGGGAATAGAATTTTATTCACATTTGAAAGAACGGAATATTATTCATATCTAATAGGTTATTGTTAGTAATCTCTGTCATGTTATTATTATTATATATTATTATATTATTATACTATATTATTATTATATTATTTTATTATTATATTATATTATTATTATTATGATGTTGTTTTTAGAATTTCGTTTCGAGAATACTATGGACGCCATTCGATGACTTTGTCTTATGTTTTATAAGTCCAATTGGTTTCAAGTTCATTTTGCAATAGTTCCAACGAGTTTGAATAATTAAATTTTTTTACTTTGCAAGATTGGAGACCAATTCATTAAGTATGTTAATTTGGTGATAATTTGTGATCCCAAATTACTTACATAACTTTATACTATACTAAATAATTTGTCATAATTAATATATTAACTGCAGTTTTACTTCAGTATTCATATTACTATGCTTTCTTATATAGAGAATAATTTAATCATTTATTATATAGACAATAATTTAATAATAGTTAAGCACAGAATTTTAGATCTACACTGAATTTATCAGGTTCTGCGGAAAGTTCTGAAAACTATATAATCATATAGTATAATAATTTTCCAGGGCAATTGCGTCTGAAGCGATCGCCTTGTCGCACTATATTAACACTAGATTTACTAATTTTTTAATTTACAATTATTCAATATTACTTGTTATTCAAATTACGGCAAATCTTACAATAACACTTGTTAAAAATCAGAATAAATGTCTTATCGTTAGTTTTATAAACTAATATAAAACAGCTGTTTTTAGTGCTCCGTAAATCTAGTGTTAAAGACTGTACATGAAATATGAAACGCTGCAAGTCTTTGTATTAATCAACGTTCGACTTCAGCTAATTTTCCCCCAAATTATCTCGATTCTCATTTTATCGCGTTACTCGCAGAAAGAAAACTGTACTTTCCGCAGGATCGGACAACTCGATCGCAGCTCCAGCGACGGTCGATTAAACGTCACAATTTTTTACGTTACTGTCCAGCAGAAATCCAGACCAACAAACAGTAACACAACACTTCCTGCGCGCTCGCATCCGCCTGTCACGCGTCACTGTTCAAGTCCCCGACGATGTCAAAAAATACCGGAGGTAGCGTGCATCGATGTTAGTCCTGAAATTACCAGATGAATGTTTTAGACTAATTAGTCCGATAACGGAGCGTCACGGTGTTGGTCACGCGACAGAACGGCCGAATGAAAATGTCAAGTGCGATTTGGAGTTCGCGAGCCGTCGTTGAAACGCGACAACCGAGGAGGAAGAAAAAAGAAGAACGGGCGAGCAAGAAGGAGGAAACTATGGGGACGAAGGGTGGAGAGACGCGGGAAGGGAGAAGGGGGATCGACAAAGGCGCGAGAGAACGTCGAGTGCCGATGGGACGCGTGCACGCGCTGTAGATATACTTCGTTGGTTATTTAATATGCCGTGGCAGTATTACCGTAGCTCGTAAGGTATAGCAATATTTTTGGGCTCGGAGCAAACGAGCCGAGAGACTCGCTACATTTATACAGGGTGTCCCAAAAATGTCTCGCAGTCCGAAAGTGGCGGGTTCCTCTGGTCATTCGAAGCAATTTTTTCCTTTACAAAAATTTTCTCCAAGGCACCGTTAACGAGTTATTAACGAAAAACAGTGACCAATGAGAGGCGAGCTCGGCTGGCGCGAGGCGACCGAGCCAATGAGCGGAACTGGGCTTCGCGCGCTGGTTGGCTGGGCCGCCTCGCGTCAGCCGTGCTCGATTCTGATTGGTCACTGTTTTTCGTTAATAACTCGTTAACGGTGCCTCGGAGAAAATTTTTGTAAAGGAAAAAGTTGCTTCAAATGATCCGNCCAAATTATCTCGATTCTCATTTTATCGCGTTACTCGCAGAAAGAAAACTGTACTTTCCGCAGGATCGGACAACTCGATCGCAGCTCCAGCGACGGTCGATTAAACGTCACAATTTTTTACGTTACTGTCCAGCAGAAATCCAGACCAACAAACAGTAACACAACACTTCCTGCGCGCTCGCATCCGCCTGTCACGCGTCACTGTTCAAGTCCCCGACGATGTCAAAAAATACCGGAGGTAGCGTGCATCGATGTTAGTCCTGAAATTACCAGATGAATGTTTTAGACTAATTAGTCCGATAACGGAGCGTCACGGTGTTGGTCACGCGACAGAACGGCCGAATGAAAATGTCAAGTGCGATTTGGAGTTCGCGAGCCGTCGTTGAAACGCGACAACCGAGGAGGAAGAAAAAAGAAGAACGGGCGAGCAAGAAGGAGGAAACTATGGGGACGAAGGGTGGAGAGACGCGGGAAGGGAGAAGGGGGATCGACAAAGGCGCGAGAGAACGTCGAGTGCCGATGGGACGCGTGCACGCGCTGTAGATATACTTCGTTGGTTATTTAATATGCCGTGGCAGTATTACCGTAGCTCGTAAGGTATAGCAATATTTTTGGGCTCGGAGCAAACGAGCCGAGAGACTCGCTACATTTATACAGGGTGTCCCAAAAATGTCTCGCAGTCCGAAAGTGGCGGGTTCCTCTGGTCATTCGAAGCAATTTTTTCCTTTACAAAAATTTTCTCCAAGGCACCGTTAACGAGTTATTAACGAAAAACAGTGACCAATGAGAGGCGAGCTCGGCTGGCGCGAGGCGACCGAGCCAATGAGCGGAACTGGGCTTCGCGCGCTGGTTGGCTGGGCCGCCTCGCGTCAGCCGTGCTCGATTCTGATTGGTCACTGTTTTTCGTTAATAACTCGTTAACGGTGCCTCGGAGAAAATTTTTGTAAAGGAAAAAGTTGCTTCAAATGATCCGAGGAACCCGCTATTTCCGGATTGCGAGACATTTTTGGGACACCCTGCGTATCGCGTATCTGCTCGATACGAGGTCTCGTTCGTGGCGCGTTGCGATTCCGCGAGCCCTGTTTTTCCACCAGCGAAAGCAACGAGGACCGACGGGCCGGTGTCCCCGGGTATCAAGAAATCTCTTCACGAATTTTGTACAGTCGCGAAGAGAACCGGGGATTCTGCTCGCCGATCTTCCGGAACTCGCGCGGAGGCGGAACAAAACAAGCCCAAGTTGTCGAACGCGTCCGACAAGCGCCGTCGCCGTTTCAACTTTCGAACGTTCGAATCTGTTTCCGTCGCTGAACTCTGGCCCGGCCATCGATCACCGTGCTTCGAGGTTCAATTAATTCACCGGCCGAACTTAAACTCGTAACCCAAATTTCAAACTAAAACATTCTCTTTCTCAACTTGCACGTAACTATTCAGTCGAGCCAAATTAAATAATATTTTTCGGACGCGTCAAATTCCATTCTATTCGTATGTTAAAGGATCAATGATAAAGTCAAAGTAAAGTAGACGTTTGGTTTTTCCTTTTATGAAGTATAAAATGAGACAATTTCAGACTGATTTGAGAAATGGTTCGATCGTCCTCAAGTATTGAGAATATATTTTAGCAGTCTCTATCGCCGCGTTGATCTTTCAAAGTATGAAACAATCCTTTAACAGCATATATATATGAAAGCGTAAGAACATTTATCATTTAAGTAACATTATTGTGAAACACATAGTTATCTCTTCGATCATATTTGCCCGACGCACACGCGCCAGTACATGCTTATCGCCTCGAATAAACGCGCGACTAATTCCTTCAGAATTACACATTCACGACGTCGATCGAATTCATCAAGTATTTCCATCTCGAAAAGCAAACGCGCGTCTAAAACTTCCGCTCTAATATCACACCGGATTAACACGCATAATCGGGCCGGCATTACAATAACATTACCGGCCCCGTCAAATTGACCGGGGCGCGACAGAATTTGAGCGACGCGACGGCTAAAACGGCGGCGGTGCACACCGTCCAACAATGCAAAGCGTCCACATTGTCCCGGGATTATGTCACGAATTTTTTTGCGTTCGCTGTCACGGGAGATCGGCGCGCGCGCGCGCGCGCGAAAACAGAGGCCCCGCGCCGATATCGAATTATTTTATACGGGCCGCGCGCTCTCTCTCTGTATCCAGTTGAACCGAATTCTTTCCGAGTGCGCCGGAATTCCTTGCGCCTCAGAAATCTGTCGATCGTAGAACGCGTCGCGCCGCCGTTCCGACCGCCGATCGAAATTGATCCGGCGTGCGTCCGTCGCGCGCTAACCGTTCTCAGCGTGCCCGTCCGACGACGATGGGAGGGGGAATCGATACGGGAAAGGCGTACGCTCTCTCGTTTTCGCAGCGCGCGCGGCCCGGCCGCCGGAATTTTTTTCTCTCTCTCTCTTTCTCTTTCTCTTTCTCTCTCTTCCTCGCGAAGATAAACATTGTGTGTGTTCACGGACCGTTCGACAAAGTAGACGGCGGGAGACGACGCGCCGGGAATACCCGCGCGCGTTGTGTCGGATAATCCGGGCGCCTATAGTGACCCTCAAAAGTGTTCCTACATCGTTTAAAATGTAATATCTTTTTTTAAACATTAGACTAAATGACTTGAATTTCTTTTTAGATGATAAAAGGAGGGATTAGTTTATTAGATGATATCTGAAATGCTTTTTTTTCTTAATTTTGCTATTACTTGGAATGACGAAAAAATAAAATTCTTAATAATCTAAGAATTCTTTAACTTTTTTATCCGAGCCTGTGACGAATATTTAAAAAATGTCTTTCATAGATCTCGGTGATCTTATGTGCATGTTAAAAATTTTATCGAAATCGGTTCACGTTGTTACGAGTTACAACGAATTAAAGATCGCAAAAAAGCTGTAAAAAAATATGCAGTTTTTAAAATCCTGTAGCTCGATTCTGTCTTAACCGATTTCGATCAAATTTTCAGCACACATATAAGTCACCGAGATCTACAAAAGGCATTTTTTAAATTTTCGTCATAGGCCCAGATAAAAATATTAAAAAACGAGAGTTCTTAATTTTTTCTCTTCGTTCCAAGTGTAATAGCGAAATTAAAAAAAAGCTTTTTTCTAGTCATCGTCTACTACACTAGTCTTTTTATCATCTAAAAAGAATTGAAGACACTTAGTTCAGTTTTGGAATAGTTATTGCGTTTTAAAAGGGGTACGAACACTTTTTTAGGCGACTGTATCGTTCCATCTCCGCGGGCGAGTCTCACAAGTCTCCCGCGACCGAATTTTCAAACATATCAGTACGAGGTACGAGGCACGATACCTGTCCGTGCATTGGCATCCGAGACGCGTTTACACAGCACGCGAGAATTAGAGAGGTCACGCGAAACACCGCGGGCAAACACACCGGCCGAAGCAGAAGCGTTGGACGCGGGCGATGCGCTCCGGAATTCGTTCATCGGCTCGCCTAATCCCGATCCGCCGCGAAATCAAGTAAACACTTCGTCCCTCGCCACGTGGCGCCGGTCGCGACGGAAATTTCGAGCGGGAAATTCGATTGTTCTTGGCCGTTGCGAAACTGCGCTGATTTGGGTGTCATTTGAGCGAAAGTGCGAAGTATGATCGATACGAGAAATTGGAGTTAATAAATTATTATTATTATTCTGGCGATAAATAAAATTAATACGTTAAATGCCGCGTCGGACACTAAATTTTTACCAGGTTTTGAAGTTCAATTTTACGTTTATTTTGAAGGTGACGCAAGTCCATTTTTTATTGTTTCGAGATAATTAAAGATTAGCGTATTGGTCAGTTCAAAAATATAAATTAATTGTGTCAAGTCTGGCAATGTTTCTACTGATTTATCAATATGTAATTTGATTATGTAAATATTTTTTTCAGGCGAACTTAACTAAAAACAATATATGTATATTTACCGATTGTAAATGGACCTGCACCATTTTCATAATTAGTGTGAATTGTGAAAATCATTTGATTTCAACTATGAAAAATTAGGTATTCTTTCATTGGCCAATTTTAAATTGAAAAAAAGACATTAACATTCTCTAAGATATTAAATATTAACAAATTGTAAATAAAACGATCGCGCTGAATTAATCAAAAATTACGCGATATCTCATTTTTTAAAAAGAATGGACATACACCATTTTCA